TATATATACTATATTATTTGTCTAACAGTTAATACTACATACACACACACACACGTGCATACTTAATATATACATACATATAAAGATACATATATGCACAGGTCGATTATCTATTCATAATAATTAAGTACTATATATAGTTACATACACACACACACACAAACACAAGCACACACACATACATATATGTATATGCATATGTGTATATGTGTGCGTATATGTATGATTAGCATTGGTCAAGAACTTAGCGCATAGCCTCACCATACTTATCATAGTGTATGTCCATTATTATTAGTATATTTTCACTTTCACATTTCCATATCCATTTCCATTGGCATTTTCATTCTTGTTTCTTGAATACCAAACACAACAACTGCTTAACTTACGATACTTTTGCCATTTGGTATTGTTTCTTATCACAATTACTATTATTTTTTTAGTTTTATCACTCTCACTATCTCCCTCTGCCTCGTTCTCTCTCTCTTCTCACTCTTTCTCTCTCTCTCTTGTTGCAACGCTTCCTACATTCATTGCATTTTGTATTGAGTTGAAACAATAATTATCATCATCATTACCATCATCATCATCATGCTCATCATCATCATAATCATCGTTATGGTTGTTATTTTTATTATAATGGGTGTCTGTTTTTGGTCTTGGTATAATACAATTGTCACGACTGTCACGTGGTGTGGGTGCATCCGAAATCTAATTATACCAACTGTAACGGTACCACTATACCAACATGTTTCTCATATGATATGATGAAGATGATGGATGAATGACTTTCGACTCTCTAGTCTGTCATCTAGCCGCGTAGAGCCGCCTAGAGTAGGTAGGCTGTGTCTCAGCCGCGTCCCCAAATAACGGTTTTTAGTGCTTCGAGGACCAATTTTATAGAGAGCATGACTTTTTGCTTTCATGCTTTTTTTTTCCCCATACATTTAAATTATTGCTTTTCCCGTTTCCTTTTGTTCTTCCCCTCTTGTTTTGAGCGCTTTCCATACCCGATAAACACACACACATACAAAGTAGATCGATTTATTGGGCAAATTTAATACAGTTGATCATATTATATATACATATATATAAGTTTAGCTTATTCAACATTCAGATAAAATCTCTAATGAGGAAATCATTCTGTTTTTTAAATATTCTTCTTATACATATTTTCTGTTCTTTTTTTACATATTTTTTTGAAACAAATATTTTACAGGATTTACATGTCGATGTAAGTCAAGTTTTATAGCTTAAAAAAAAAAAAAAAATCAAAAAAGAAAAAGAAAATAAAACAACAAATATTTAATTCAAATTCCAAGTGTTGTATTGCATAATTAAATGAGTTAATTAAATAAAATTCAACTTCTCCAACTTAAATTGCAATTCCTATTTACACACACGAACTGCACAACTTAAAGTCGAATAAATATTGAGTAAAACTGAAAATGGATAAAACTATAGTTATCTAGTGTTTTTATATTGTTGCTGCACTTGCTAAATAATTAATCAAAATAGTTATATATATACTGTATATTGTATTTGCATTAAAAGTAAAACAAATCTCATTCATTTGTTTTCAGTCTCGAATATGAAGAAGAAGAAAATCATGTAAAATCCAAATTTTCATATTATCATAGAAATATATTTGTTGTTTCATTTCTTTTTCTTTTTAATAAATGCAGTTAATTTTATTTGTTATGTTTTGTATTTACTTAATTTGTATACCTGCAATAGATGTAGTCAAGTTATATATTATATATGTTTGCCCCCCTCTGTTTCTATGCATGAGTAAAGTAAGTAAATTGTAATA